CTAAATGTGGAGTCTGATGTATACTCCCCATTGAGAGGACCCAAAATACCCTGCCAGAGGTATAGAGGCATGCTGACGTGATCACTGAAATGATGCCCACAAAGGGGACTTACAACCTATGTGGCTAGTAGTTCTAGAACTATTTGGGTACGCTGAACCCTAGTCCAACTCGGTATTATGCTACTCCCAATGGATTAAGTGATTAACACATTATGACTGAATTTATGTAAGTTACTGGATAGCTCAAATTGGACATGCGAATTGAGTATGTAACAATTAATTGATATTGATGCATTAATAATTGAGGCATGTATAACTGAAATAACTGAAATATCTAGCCTGTCATGTATAATTCAAGAACTAAAGAACTACATAGCTAGGGTTTTGAAATTTTATGCAATATACTAAATATTAACGTACTAATCTGATTTGGATCATTCTAACATCTAAGAACCCAATATATCTAACATTCAAGAAACCCTAGGTCTAGTCATAATAAGGGAATCAAGAAACTCACTGAAAACTAGGGACCTAATGGGTGAAAGGAACCCACTAGTGAAGTCCCACATACCTAGTGACGAATTCCATGGAGATATCCTTCGATTTCAGGGCTGGAACTGGAGAAAACTTGATGCGTTCTTGAACTAGGGTTGGTCGCCTCTTTCTCTTCTTACACTTCTAAATTTCTGAGTTTCGATGCAAGATCTGACTTAGGTAAGTTCTATTTATGTTTCTAGGCTAAAACTAATCAAAACCACGTAATTTAGGGTTAAAACAACATAGTTTAGAGGTCCAACAAAATAGGAAAATATCAAAATAGCCGTGACTTAAATCTGCAGACGGGGTGACCACACCATCTTCACGGACTGTGAAAGGGACCACGGAACATGAAGTCGGTTGTGATCTGGACATTGTTCTGAAAATTTGGGGTCTGGACTATGACCACTACCACGGCCCGTGTGGAGAACCCCGTACTGTGAAGGTCCCTGTGGTCCTCACTTGGGCTAAGGTTTGGGGGCCTATTGGATAGCCTTTTTGGACCACTCCACGACCCGTGTGAGGGACCACGGACCGTGAATGCCCTCGTGGTCTTCACTTGGGCGTGGAGGTCTAAGGGGCTGGCTAGGGGGCTACTGCCTCGACTCTACAGATGCCACCACGTCCCATCGTCGTGACAACGGCCCATGAAGGGTCCCGTGGTCTGACGCTTGGGCCTGGTGAAGTCCAAGTTTGTACCACGGGCAGGCCTACGGACCGTGGACCCTATCACGGTCCGTGAACCCTGCCGTGGTTCATTGCTTCAGGTAAGATTTCTGCAAAAAAAATTCTAGGCCTGGTTTTCGAGGTGTTACAATCTCTCCCCCTTGGGAATATTCGTCCTCGAATGAAGGCTAAACTAGCTGATATAGAGGGAAAGAACTACGACCCTACCATTACACACTGAAGACTGATTTATGACTGAACTGAGTTCCAAGAACATGAAAATACGATGAAAATGCAAGTACAAACTGAAGGAACAAAATACTAAGACTGAATTAACGCATGAATGACCTCAAACTAGAATGGAATCGGAAGGGAAAAGGTGAGGATACTTGGATATTAGCCCAAGTATCTCCCTCTATGGACTGACTCCTTCACAAAACCTTGACTGAAGCGACTTCCTTGTTTCTCAATCTTCTAACTGACGATCAAGAATCTCAACTGGTACATCCTCATAAGAAAGGCTATCTTTTATAGCCACACTCTCTAATGGCACTACAGATGCTAGATCACCCACACACTTCTTCAATAGTGAAATGTGAAAGACTGGATGCACTGCTGCTAAATCTGCTGGCAACTCTAGCTCATAAGCCACTTTACCAATCCTTTTCAAGATCTGGTAAGGGCCTACATATCTGGGACTGAGCTGCCCTTTCATACCAAATCTCATCACCCCTTCATAGGTGACACCTTCAAGAAAACCCAATCATCAACTTCGAACTCTAGTTCCCTTCTCCTTATATTTGCATAAGACTTTTGGCGACTCTGGGCTGTCTTAAGTCTATCTCTAATGAGTTATACTTTCTCCATAGCATCAAGGATTGAATTTGGCCCTATCAAGGTTGTTTCACTTACTTCAAACCAACCGGCTGGAGATCTATATCTACACCCATATAATGCCTTATAAGGTGCCATCTGAATCCTGGAATGATAGCTATTGTTGTAGGCAAACTCTATTAAAGGAAGGTGATCATCCCAACTACCCTTGAAGTCGATCACACAAGCTCTCAACATGTCCTCTAAGGTTTGAATGGTACGCTCTGCCTGACCATCAGTCTGTGGGTGAAATGTTATACTAAGATTAACTTGAGTACCAAGACCTTTCTGAAATGACTTCCGAAAATGAGAGGTAAACTGAGGACCTCTATCTGAGATGATAGACAAAGGAACCCCATGCAACCTAACTACCTCATTAATGAAAAGCTTGGCGTAGTCCTTCGCCGAATCTGTAGTCTTGACCACCAAAAAGCAAGAAGACTTAGTAACTCTATCAACTATCACCCAAATAGAGTCATGTTGTCTGCGAGTATGAGGTAAACCTATGATGAAATCCATGTTGATCACTTCCCACTTCCAAGTAGGAATGTCAATCTCTTGAGTCATACCTCCTGGTTTTTTATGTTCTACCTTGCCTTCTGGCAATTAGGGCACTTAGCCATAAAATCTGCTATATCTCTTTTCATACCATTCCACCAATAAACTTCCCGCAGATCGCGGTACATCTTAGTGGCACTTGGATGAATAGAATATATGGAGTTATGGGCAACTGCAAGAATATGTTATCTCAACTCGCCCACATTAGGAACACATAATCGACCTTGGTAGCGAAGCACACCATCTTCCCCTTGGGAGAAAACCTCAACTCTCTATTGTGGACTACACCCTTGAGTTCGAGCAATATCGGATCACTATCTTACTTTTCCTTAACCTCCACTACCAGTGAAGATTCTATCCCATTCTGAACAGTTACACCACCATCTGATATGCTCATAAGACGAACTCCTAGGCGAGTAGTCTGTGAACATCCTTTGCTAGCTCTTTTTTTTCTTTCTCAACATGAGCTACACTACCCATAGATAGTCTGCTAAGGGCATCTGCTACTACATTGGCCTTACCAAGGTAGTAATGCACACTCATGTCATAATACTTGAGGAACTCAAGCTATCTTCTCTAGCGAAGATTCAACTCTTTTTAGGTGAACACATACTGGAGGCTCTTATGGTCTGTGAGCACATCTACATGAACACCATACAGGTAGTGTCTCCAAATCTTGAGTGCAAACACCACAGCTGCAAGCTCGAGGTCATGAGTCGAATAATTCTTTTCATGCACCTTAAGCTGTCTGGAAGCATAAGCTATAGCCTTACCTCGCTGCATCAACACACAACCTAGGCTGACTTTGGATGCATCACAATAAATCACATAACCATCTAAACCCTCTAGTAGAGTCAAAACAGGAGTTGTAGCCAACCTAGTTTTCAATTCTATGAAGCTTTTCTCACAATCATCTTACCACCAAAACTTGACCATCTTTTGAGTCAACCTAGTCAATAGTGAGGCCATGGATGAAAATCCTTCCACGAACCTTCTGTAATAACCCGCTAGACCCAAGAAACTTCTGATATCTTCAGGAGAGGTAGGTCTGGGACATTGTTTCACTGCTTCTATTTTCTGGGAATCCACCCAGATCCCTTCGTTGGATACTATATGCCCAAGGAAAGCAACTGATTGTAACCAAAACTCGCACTTGTTAAATTTGGCGAATAACTGGCGATCTTTGAGAGTTTGTAGAACAAATCTCAAATGACTTGCATGTTCCTCCTCATTCCTAGAGTAAATGAGGATATCATCAATGAAGACGCTAACGAACAAGTCCAAGTACTGCTTGAACACTCTGTTCATCAAATCCATGAAAACTGCAGGAGCATTGGTTAGTCCAAATGAAATAACTATGAATTTATAATGACCATACCGAGTACAGAAGGTTGTCTTCGGAATGTCACTATCTCTGACTCTAAGCTGATGATAACCGGATCTGAGGTCTATCTTTGAGAAATGGCTAGCACCCTGAAGTTGGTCAAACAAGTCATCAATCCTAGGGATGGGATACTTATTCTTGATTGTGACCTTGTTCAACTGCCTATAGTCAATGCACATTCTGAGAGAACCATCTTTTTTCTTCACGAAAAATACTGGTGCACCCCATGGAAAAATACTAGGTCTAATGAAGCCCTTATCTAGAAGGTCTTTCAACTGCTCCTTCAACTCCTTAAGCTTAGCTGGAGCCATTCTGTAAGGAGGAATAGAGATAGACTGGGTATCTGGAAGAAGATCAATTCCAAAGTCGATTTCCCTATCGGGAGGAACTCTGGGAAGATCTTCTGGAAACACTTCTGGGAACTCACTAACCATTGGAACTAAATCAAGAGTTGGGGTTTCGAAGTTAGAAACCTTGACCCGAACTAGATGATAGATATAACCCTTAGAAATCATTTTTCTGGCCTTAAGGTAAGAAATGAATTGACCTATAGGCGTTGAGCTACTACCTTTCCACTCTAAGATTAGTTCGTTTGGAAACTGAAAACGAACAATCCTACTTCTACAATCGACTGAGCCATAATAGGAATGTAACCAGTCCATGCCTAGAATGACATCGAAGTCTACCATTTCTAACTCTACAAGTTCTGCTGAGGTGACTTTCTGAGAGACTATAATAGGGCAATTTATGTATACCCGTCTAGCTATAACTGGGTCACCAACTGGAGTAGAGACCGTGAAAGGTTCCAAGAGAGTTTCTAGACTAACATCAAACTTAACTGCTATATAAGGAGTTACAAATGAAAGAGTAGCCCTGGATATAACAAAGCATAAACATTTAGATCAAAGACTTGTAACGTACCAGTGACTACATCAGGAGAATCTTCCTAATCCTGGCGAGCCTGAAGAACATAGAGCATGTTCTAGCGTTGTCCGCCACCTGTACCAAAAGAATTACCCTGCTGAGTCGGGAGTCCTGTTGGTGCTGTCGAAGTTGTAGACTGGGCTCGATTAGCATTGCCTCCTTGACCCTGTTTAGAAGGACAATCCTTCAATCTGTGACCAGACTGACCACATCCAAAGCATTCTTCCTTTCATACAAGGCACAAGCCCGAATGGTTGTTACCACAATTAGGGCAAGTTGGGTAGGTTTTGGTTCTTGAAACACTTCCCTGAGACTTAGAGCCTGATGCCCTACCTTTCTGATCTTGTCTGAACTTGGAGGATGGAACACTAGCTGATGAAGTTGATGGGCTTGAAAATTTCTGCTGACCCTGCGAGCGATTCCCACCACCCGATTTCCGTTGAGAGTAGTCATAGTTTCCGGTCCTACCCTCCTTGTTCTCCCTAGCATGTTCTCTAAGCTTATCATCATCAACCTGCTGAACATGAGTCATGAGCCTAGAGATGCTCATATTTTCTAGCAACATAGCATTTCTACACTCTGTCTTCACCAAGTCTGACACTCCATATAGAAACTTATTCATCTGAGCCCTGGAATCAGCAACCATGTGAGAAGCATACCTGGAGAGTTGGGTAATCTTGAGCCCATACTCTTGGACTGCCATGCTACCTTGCCTTAAGTTCATAAATTCCTGAGCTTTCGCCTCCCTTAGCGCTCTTAGGAAAAACCTGTCTAGGAAGGTCTCACTAAAGCAATCCCAAGTGATAGGAGCTGCATTTGTACCCCTATTCTTTTTCCACTAAGTATACCAGATATGAGCCAAATCCTTAAGTTGGTAAGACGCTAACTCAACCCGATCATTCCCAGTTACATACATCACTTCAAAGATCTTCTTGACCTCATCAATGAAGTTTTGGGATCCTCACCTATCTGCGATCCTAAGAACTCTGGAGGATTCATCCTAACAAAATCTCGCACTCTAGCTGCAGCTGACCCAACATTGTCTTTTGCCTGAACTGGAACCCCCTGATTGTTCTGGTTGGCCACACTCTGAGCCAATATCTGAATAGCGTTCCTGAACTCTGCATTCGAGACTTCTTGATCAGGGACTGGAGGAGCTACGTTTGCGTTCCTGGCATTCGCATTCTTGGCGTTAGCTCTACAAGGAGGCATGATCAGTTAAACGTAGAACGTCGAGTTAGAATGTAATTAGATCATACCTTACACACGATAAGAGTAACAAGAAAATGAATATTTTTCCTAAAACACTTTGTAGACTCCCTCTCATCAGATGTGGTGCACTTCACACCCATGAAAAAGACTCTACTTAGTGAGGCTTTTCAGACATCCTAGGACACATACATCTAGTGCTCTGATACCAAGTTTGTCACGCCCAGAACTACCCTCGAGACGTGGACACGGGACCTAGGACCACAAGTGATCCCAATTTAACCCTGTTGGCATGATCACGAGCATACTAAAGATAATAAACTGATGCGGAAGCTAAATCATAAATAAAATGAAAAGATGGAGAATACCCATATACAATAACTAAGATAAATGAAAACTAATGAGTTTAATACAAAGAAGATATTAACTCAATACTAAGTTGAATCTACATATGTCTGAAAATAGCCTCTAATTGACTAGAAATGTTGGTACAGGCCTCAACTAAGTCTAGAAAAACTGAAACTAAAGGACTAAAAATACTGAAAATAAACTCATGATTATTGTCCTCGGAGAATGAGGACTCACCACTGATTCTGCTAAACTGGAGATCGGGAACCGATCTAAGCGTGATCTAGATACTGAGAGCCTAAACCTACATCACGAAAAGATGTAGCACAGAGTATGTGTCAATACTTGAAATGTACTGAGCATGCATGATAGAATAAAGTTGAAATAACATATAACTGAACAAGCAAATCAGCAATGATATAATATGAACATGATATAGATAATGAATACTGAGCTAACTGAATGCAATGACCAATTTATAGCATGCTGAGACTGAATACTGAATATACTGATACATGGTCAATGCAATAGAATCTGACTGAACTGTGGGAGCTACTAATAATCGATAATAAAACCACATGAGCTAAATGTGGAATCTGATGTATACGCCCCATCGAGAGGACCCAATATACCATGCTAGAGGTATAGAGGCATGCTGGCGTGATCACTGAAATGATGCCCACAAATGGGACTTTGAACCCTAGTCCAACTCGGTATTATGCTACTCCTAATGGATTAAGTGATTAACACATTATGATTGAATTTCTGTAAGTTACTAGATAGCTCAAACTGGACATGCGAACTGGGTATGCAACAATTAACTGATATTGATGCATTAATAACTGAGGCATGTATAATTGAAATAACTGAAATATCTAGCATGGCATGTGTAATTCAAGAACTACAGAACTACATAGCTAGGGTTCTGAAATTTATGCAATAAATTGAATATTAACGTACTAATCTGATTTGGATCATTCTAACAGCTAAGAACCCAATAATTCTAACATTCAAGAAACCCTACGTCTAGTCATAATAAGAGATTCAAGAAACTGACTGAAAATTAGGGACCTAATAGGCGAAAGGAACCCACAAGTGAAATCCCACATACCTGGTGACGAATTTCACGGAGAAATCCTTCGATTTCAGGGCTGGAACTGGAGGAAACTTGATGCGTTCTTGAACTAGGGTTGGTCGCCTCTTTCTCTTCTTACGCTTCTAAATTTCTGAGTTTTGATGCAAGATCTTACTTAGGTAAGTTCTAGTTATGTTTCTAGGCTAAAACTAATCAAAAACACGTAGTTTAGGGTTAAAACGACATAGTTTAGAGGTCCAACAAAATAGGAAAAGACTGAAATAACCGTGACTTAAAGCTGCAGACGGTCAGACCACGACCATCTTCACGGACCGTGAAGTCGGTCATGATCTGGACTTGGTTCTGAAAATTTGGGGGTTTGGACTATGGCCCGTGTGGAGGACCATGGACCGTGAAGGTCCCTGTGGTCCTCCCTTGGGCTGAGATCTGGAGACTCAGGTCTGGGGGCCTACTAGATAGCCTTTTCAGACCACTCCACGAACCGTGTGAGGGACCACGGACCGTGAAGGCCCTCGTGGTATTCACTTGGGCATGGAGGTCTAAGGGGCTGGCTAGGGGGACTACTGCCTCGACTCTACGGAAGCCACCATAGCCCGTCGTAGTGACCACAACCCGTGAAGGGTCCTGTGGTCTAACGCCTGGACCTGGTGAAGTCCAAGTCTGGACCACGGGCAGGTCTACGAACCGTGGACCCTATCACGGTCCGTGAACCCTGTCGTGGTTCACTGCTTCAGGTAACATTTTTGCAAAAAATAATCTAGGCCTGGTTTTCGATGTGTTACAGGAAAAGTCCCCAACAATACAAACAACTATAAACAAACTCAAGTATACGAAACCTACAGACAACCAACAACTCCAAGAAGAATGGAGCTTACCAATCCTCAGCTGAGATAACACCCTTTATTGCAAAGGCCAATCATAATATTTGTTTGAACCTGAAGCACGACATGTAGTGTCCCTGAACAATGGAACGTCAGTACAAATGAAAATGTACTGTTACGTAAGACGGAAAGTGAAATCATAAATAACTGCGATAAAAAGGATAATAGAGATACCACCACAAACTGAAATTCTAATAGCCTTCATGACTGACATCGGACCTCATAGCAATCAAATATGCATGAATACCCAAACAAATTCTAGTAATGGCAGTCATTTCTGGTAGCTAATCGGTATCATATTTTTCAACTTGTGGCCATCTGTAAAATATACATTGTCTTCTGGGCAAATAAGCCCCCTTCCCTCCGAGGTACTCAAATTGGATCAGTAATAAATTTCTAGGTTTTATCGTAAATAAAATTTGTTATTTCAAATTACGTAAATCAATAGTTCAAACCGCATCAAAGGTAGGGTATTTCCCATTTTTATAGAAACTTCTATACTAGATAGAATACGCCTATCATCTTTCTATAGTTCCAACCTATTCTTTCTACATCCATTCAGAGTTCTAGGGATTAACCAATTGAATAATATGTCATGATATAAACTCTGAATGCACATAGTAGGCCATAACAAGAACTTAGTCAATCTTGGATATTTGGTACCCTTATTCTCATAATCTTGTAACCACTTCTGTATAGCATGTAAATGCCTTGTAGAACTTCATACGACCATTTAAGCCTATAAAACTCACAATAGACTTGAAGCTCTTGACTCGACTTCAACTTGAAAAATTAATCATTTAGGAATTCAAAAGGATACTGACATACATGACTTAATTTAAGAATGGCTCCAATTTAATAGTAGTATGGTCCTTTTTAGAAATAAGATTACTTAAAAAGTATATAGCCAAAAGAATAGAGTACAAGATTTAGTGTTAGTATCATTTTCAAATAACATTTTTATAAAAGCTTCTAACAAGAAAGAATTGTTCAACAACTTCCTTGGATACAACATAATTATTCTCCAACATTTCTGTCACGCCCGAGGCTACCCCTGAACATAAACACGAGACCTAGGATCACGAGGGACCCAAGTAAACCCTGAGCTGACATATCATAAGCATACTAAAAGCTTACTGAATAAATATACTATGCAGAAGCTTAAAGAATGATAACTAAAAGTGAGGAATACCCAATACTGATCTGAAAATATAAAAGACTATGAGTTTAATAACAACTGGAGGATCAAACTGAAAACTAAAATTGAATTTAGTATTATGTCTGAAAAAGCCTCTAACTGACTAAAGTTGTTGGGATATGCCCACAGCTCACTCTAGCAAAACTGAAAACTGAATAAAAGACTTAAGTGTAAATCATGTCTATTGTCCTCGAAGTATGAGGACTCACCACTGTAGCTGTTGAACAGGAGATCGAGAACCGATCTATGCGTGATCTGAATGTTGAGTACATGAACGTACATCATGAAAAGATGTAGCACAGAGTATGTGTCAGTACTTGGAATGTACTGAACATGCAGGATATAGAGTATAGCTGAATAAAATACTAAACAAAGCATACTGAGCAATAACATAATCTGAACTGAATGTAAATGTTGAAATATACTGAAGGCTGAGCTAAATGCAATAACCAAGTACTAATCCTGAACATGACATACTGAGACTGAATGTTGAAATATAACTGAAGACTTGGTCAAATGCACTGAATTCTGACTATGGGAGATACTATTAACCGACATAAAACCACGTGAGTTAAACGTGGAGTTCAATGTATACGCCCCATCGAGAGGACCAAATATACCTTTCCAGGGGTATAAAGACATGAATGTTCGATGTATACGCCCCATCAATAGGACGCAATATACCTTGCCAGGGGTATAAAGGCATGAATGACGTGATCACTAAAGCTGATGCCCAACAGAGGGGACTGATAAACCTACGGGGGCACGTAGTTTTGGGACTATGAGGGTACGCTGAACCTAGTCCAACTCGGTCTAAGCCTACTCCCAACTGGAATGTGTATGACACAAAAAAAACTGAAATACTAGATAGCTCAATGTTCTGACATGCAAATCTGATAATGCAACATTTAAATACTGACAATGAAACATTCTTACTGGAGCATGTATATCTATTTAAACTAACCTAGCAAGTGTAATTCATGAATTAAACGAATCTACACAACTAGGGTTCTGAGTTTCATGCAAAAAACTAAGTAACGATTCCACCAAAACATGAAATCTGATTTGGAATACTCTAACCAGCTAAATCACAACTAATATATAAAGCTTTAGAAACCCTAGGTCTAAGCAAGATATAGGGATCAAGAATCTTACTGAATTCTAGGGACCTAATGGGTGAAAGGAACCCACTAGTGAAATCCCACATACCAGGTGACGAAATCTACGGAGAAATCCGTCGATTTCAGGGTTGAAACTTTGAAAAACACTGTTGCTTGTTCTTGGAAGTTTTTGTCGGCTTTTCCTCTTCATTTTGCTCCAAGCTGGGATGATTTTAGGTGAATGAGGGTTCTGGGCAAGTCTGACTAAGTTATTAGGCTTAGACTGACTAAAATGACGAAGTTACCTAAATGACCCTAACTTAAAAGTTGCCAAAGGCCACCCACGGAGGGATCTACTGGTCGTAGGTTGACCTACCAAT